AACCTGGACCCAGACTCAAACCGCTCCCCATAAGCAATCAAGTCAAACAACTTAGAAAGTGAGCTACGCAGCGGACCGCTCATGTCGGATCCATTCATCACATCTTTGTGCCATCTGAACGAACCAAGCCATTGCGGGGGACTGTAGCAGAGCTGCAACTCCTGACGCTGCTCAGTAGGGAATGAGCAATGACCGCAGGGGTCCCCTTAAAGGAAGCCCCAAGGGATGGTCTATAGGGGTCATTCCCTCATTCCCTGCTGAGCACCCAGGAATATTCGTTGGTAATTATATTCTGCTGCTTCCTCTCCTGAAGCAGATCCCCCCCAGCAACCAGGATAGTTTCCACAGCAAGGTCCCATACAATTTCCGCGGAGATTCCCCTGGCGTAGTTGTCCGCAATCTCCTTGGGCCCGCTGCCAGGGTGGCAACGGCACCCTCCTGGGCTTAGCCGCCCAAGCACGAACACGTCTGCACCTGCCCTGTCAAACGCGGAAACCGTGGGACGAAATCTTACAGCTTGTGGCTTACTATTGGAGTACTTGGAGTCTCCTTCTGACTCTGCAAATTGTGGAAAGCGGCCACCAGCCGATTTGTGATTCGGCTCAGAAGGAAACTCCAGGTATTCACAGCGCTTCCATGCCAACTAGTGAAGTGGGTTTCTGTGCATTCGCCCAGAAAACAAAACATCCCGTGAAGTCTCTCAGGTGCAAAGAAACGGAGTGCGACTGCATCCCAAAGGACTCATGGATCCCTTACCTGTTTTTGGCTTCCCATAATGAGAACCCTGAGGGGTGCGCGCCGCTAGGACCCAAAACCCTGAAACAAGTTGGAGCTCACTGACTTCACCCCACAGCCTTTGGCTTGTGCTGCAATAAGCCCCACAAATGTTTTTTTGTTTGGAAAATAGTGGCCCCGGTAGTTGCTTGAACCGCCAGGTAAGCCAGGGATCGCCCTCACTTTTTTTTAAAGCAAATCAACCAAAAAGGACATCTATGCTACTTGTAACCCCCATGTGTTCTCTTAGTTTGAGGGCGGGTCCTTTCCTCGAGCGCGCCCGAAGCCTGGGTTTCGCCCTCCCGCGCCTGCGCCCACTTGGGGGGCGGAGGCACCTAAAGGATCCGACGCTCGGATCTCCGATTCCTCAGGCTCTACCAGGAGGACCCCAGAAAGGTTATGAACGGCCCCCTTTTTACCCCTCAAAAGCCATCCTGGGGTAAAAATACCCAGGCACCCAAAAGGGTTTCTGATTTCTGGCAGCACTGGCAAGCCATGCATGTGTCCGTCTTGCTTACACAGGATGATCCGGGAAATTGAATCGGTTTCGTCAACTCTGAGCCTTTCTGTGATAAAGCCGGCCTTGCCCCATCACTTCGTCACCTGAAGCTCCTTTGGCCACCTGAAAGTGGGCCAAAAACCCTCTAATTTCCACAAAACTCCTGAAGTCGCAGTTTTGTCAGGAACCCTTGCGGTTGAAACTCCAGGAGTTCATGACCATCCCGGTCTTTTAACAACTCACATTTGAGCACACCCCACCCGGCGGCGCTTCTCCCACCAGCTGAAAGCGCCATTGGGTCAGTAGGCAGATAGGCTCCGGGGTAGTTTGAGTGATGGGGAGTCCATTGGTTGATCAATTGTGACCTCAACAGGACCAAGAGACCCAAGGGTACCTCCCTAGGGCACCCGGCCAGATGTTGCTTGTGGTGCTTCTTGGGTTTGAGTTGTTCAGTTCTCCCTTCCACAAATGAAACGCATCCACAAAATGACTGGGCCCATAACAGGGGTATCCTCAAACAATGGCAACTCAATGTATTCGTTTAAAGGGAAACACACCAAAAAAATGTAATTGTACCACCGGGCAACGGCTCATTTGTATGGACTCGATCGAGGGTGGCTTTCTACCTGGGCGTTAAATAGGTGTTCGAGTAAAAGGAAAAACACGAACACCCTCATTTGGTGTCTTTTTCAGACAATAAAATGATATGGGCCATTCAGCACGCGCTATATTTCCAAGGAGCCCTTTATAAGGACAAATGTCAAAAGGAAAACCGGATTGTTCGTAATCTTCCCAAGGGTCTGTTGCCTGGGCTCGGACCAAACAACTGAACAGCATGAATGTATAGTAGGAATATGACAAAGAGAGCAACCTCAGCAAGCGTGTTCCCTGCTTTTTCTACGAACGCCACCGACCAAACAGAGTCCTCTATTCCTCTAATTTAGGACACACCCATATGAGCATCGCTCACCGCAATGGAAACATTCCGAACTTCCTGCTAAACTGGCCGTTTCCAATCAAGGGAATTGAACATGAAAGATCGTAAGATCTTACCATCTACCTGGCCAACATGAAAAAGCAGCAGAACACAAAGGGTACCCTCAACAAGGCACATTCAAACCTGAGCCGACCCCGAACGAGCCGGGATCGAAAGATCTAGGCCGAGGAATCTACTTATCACCAGCCATGGTACCAGGCCTTTTCAACCAGCCTTGGATCTTCTTGGGATTTGGCTTAGCAACTGACACGCACGCGCACACAAGCGCCATGTCCATGCGTGAAATAACACCTGTATGTGCATCTCTATATATATTACTCTGTGTATGTACCAAATCAACTTGGTACTATCTAACATGTCACAAGTGTGTCTACACACATATACACATATACAATGTTCATGGGGAACTCCGCAGGGTTCGAGCCTGTCTCACCGGAGAGGCGACACTGCGCCTGGCGCGAGCCCCTTTTGGCCGATGCTGGCCATGCCGAAGTGGGACAAACAGCGAACCATCCCAAGGAACATGGAGCACCTGGACACCCAAACTGCCCTGAAGGGGTGCTCAACCCCCTCATGGGGCGCAACCAATGATGTAAGTACTCACTTCCCGAGTGGTCCAAACAAAGAACCTGAACTTTAGGGTACCTGGACCGGGGTAAGCACCCCATTGTTTTGGGGAAAAAACACATTTTCATGATTAGTTTCAGGGTCCGGATATACCCTTGAAAATGTCGGAAACATAATGGTTGTGTACCCCTCCCCAGCTTTATCTCAGGGGGTATCTGGGGGTAGTGGACACCTTCTTTGACACCGGGAGAAATGCCGCCAATCCGGTGATGTGAGTTCTTGAACAAGCCACCAACTGGCGCACGATTTTATCCAGTTACAATCAGTGCAAATCCATCCAATCTTTGTGCTCATAGCCGGCCACAGGAATTCATATACAAAAAGGACCAAATGGCCATTATATCAATCCAAGGAAAGGTGTTCACGCAGCCGGCTTCTTCGATTTGCGGATCTCAAACGGAAATGACACTGAAACTGCATGACTTTACACAGCAAACCCCTAGGATGTTGTTCAACATCCCCCACTTTCCTTCGGACCCATTGGGGAGTGGGGGGGGCGGCGACGTCCTCCTGCTGTGCCAAATCAAGACCGCGTGCCCTTTGGGTAACCCACGCGTGGAAACGGGATCCTTCTCATCCCAGGGCTCGAAACCAAAAGCCGTCTTTCACTTGTCCCGGGAAAATTGGTTGGTTGGTTGGTTCGTGGCCAGCGCATGTTAGCGAGGCCAGGCCCGCGCGTCCCGGGAAAACCAAAAACAGTCTTCCAGTGAGCAGCGCGACGCCCAGCTGCCAGTGCAAGGAAGCTGGGACTGGCAAACTGCGCTCGGAACATCAGTGCTCGCTTGAGGTTGCCGGAAATGAACCTTTGCGGGACGGCCAGTTCAGTGGCAAACAATCGGCTTGCGCTTTTTGGGCCACTGAGAACGTGAAGGCCACCAATCAAAACCTCTGGGCCACTGTGCTTTGTTGGAGTACCCAATCAAAAGGGAAACCAAAGAGGGAAAAGGGAAACCAAGTCCCTTTAATTGTCTAAAAGGGAAACCAAATCAAAACCACCACTCCTGGTTTGAGACACACCCAAGTCAAACCGGGTAGAAGGATAGAAGATTTCAAGACCTCTACCGCGTACCGCTTGGCGTTCTCGATGCCAATGACGGGAGTGAGGTGCCGTGCTCAGCCGTCCAATCCCAGCCCTCCAGAACCAACCCAAAAGAATGACGAGGCTACCATGGAGGCAGAAATGAGAAAGCTGCCTCCATGCTGACCTACGGCGTACTTCATCTCGAGCACCCAACGTCGGCGAGGATTGAATCCGACATGTGGATCGAGTCGCGCCCGCTCGAGACACCAAAGGTTCTGTCAGGATGTGCAGCACCGCATCTTCACAGAAGAAAGAGAAGGGCCTGCTCATGTATTGGTGGTTGATCCAAGAAACCCACCCCAATACTCCCAAAACAGCTGAACAAAGGGAATGCGGAATGTGTCTCTTCACAAAGGAAAGGTTCACGAAAACACATCATCAAAGACATCAGGTTCACACAAAAAGTGACGCACTTCCTTAGCGAATTGGCCCACAATGTCTATGCTTTCTTTATTTGACCACAACTCAGGAGCAAAATGTTCAACATTACATTCCCAACATGTATTCTTCGTGCAATCCAGTGCGACCCTCCGATCAGGCTTGTCGTTCTTCAAGGTCCGAGAAGGATTCGCAAAGAAATCAACCTAATCCTGGCAATGCTAGGTTTGCTTTGCCTCCCATCTTTTTTCAAACACGGGACAACTGAACAACGGGGTCCTGGGTCCGCTAAACAATACATTACTTGAACACAAACCACAAACAAAACATAACAAAACGTGGTTCCTGTTGACCCCTCTGCAAAAGTTTACAACTTGCTGTGGGTCCAATCCGGAAAATCCACAAAGTTTCCACCAAAAAGTTAAAGTCCAAAGATCCGTTCCCAAATAACCACAGAGAACACAAATACCCTCCCACCAATTAACATGGAACCCGACGTTCCGGGGGGTGCTGGAAGACCATTTTGCTTTCAAGGCACGGCGATCGCACCTTGTAGAACCACTCGAAAACATGAGGGACCATCTTGTTCTTGAAACCTCCCTATTTTTTGCCTTTTGCAGACAGGTTTCATGTTAATCGGTGGTTTAAACCCGCCAGCGCGGCTTCCCGGGCCGCAAGCGCAGCGCCCGGACCTCGAAAAATCGCATGGCGTCAACAGTGACCATGGGAGCAAGGGAAGGGCGTTCCTTTGCTCAGCTGTTCAGTGACCCTGGAAAAAAAGGGAACCCTTTTTGGGGAAGACCATTTTTAGTGGGGCAGCCACCCAAAAAAAGGGGTGAACAACTGAGTTTTCGGGTAATGTTGACCCCAGATTTGTTCATCAACCTAAGCTTATTAATAGGGGGTGGCTTTGGCCCCTCCAAAAGTGGTCTGATTCCCCACTAAACCCAGAATTGGACACCCCCATATTAATAAACCGGGGTTGACTAATATGGGGTCAACATTACCCTTTTTTTTACAGGGTCAGACGGAGATGCCTCACCTCCTGCAAAACCTGAATAAAAAGACACCACTGAAAGTAAGGGGTGCATAGTTTAAGGAGTTGAGCTGGGGTATGTCATGAGCTTGACTTCTTGCTTTGATTTGCGAGCACTGGTAAATGATTGGGACCGCGCTGAACCCAGAAGTGGTCCGCAAAGCAATCAACGGTGTGTCTTTCTGAGAAGCCAGACTGGTTGATGACTATCCCCTATAATTGCTTGTGCAGCAAGAATCCACAAACAACAAACACCGCAGGAAAGGTTCGTAAGGAGTTTTCTTGGAAGTGGGCTCCATGCTGTTCTCAGCAGGGAATGAGGGGCGCGAAACAAACGGTTAGCGAGAAACAAAGCTTGAACGCGGCGCCCAAGCTGGCGGCGAGTGTTCGCTGCCACTCAGTGGGGCCTTCAAAGCCATGCGGAACATCTACAATGCAGGCAGCGTAAATCGCCCTTGTTCGGACTTGGCTGTCGTCGCCGTGCAACTTCTCACTCGCGCAACAATCAAACTTCTTGGAAACCCGGGCGATCAATTCGGCTGTTGGGCGGCTGTAGGTTGGAGGGGTCCTGCTCCATCTTTCCTAGCGTCTCCTCCAAAAAGGTTGATGAAAGAGGTAATGTCCGCGTCTTCTTGTTTGCCCGGGGAACCCAGCACTGGGTACGTCCCGGCTGCGCACCATCCCCGATATCTTGCTTCAAAGAACTCCCAAAGCCCTTTTGTTCTCATCTTTCAAATTTCGCACTCAGAACCAGCAAGAACATGGCTTGGGGGAAGCAAAGTAGTGCGATTTCCCTTTATGTACCCTTTTGACACATATCCAAAGGCAGCCAGGTCCTTTGCAGATACTGCGGGCCCCATTTCGGGTACTCGGACCCTCTCGAAGACGCAACTGGCTTCGTCTCAAAAAACCGCGTTTTCTGTGCAGCTCTTGCCGGTCTTTGAATTTATTTTCCCACCAAGAGTGGTGAAGTTAAATTTTGGGCTATCACCATGCACCCGCCCTGAAATCCTCCCTACTTCCAGTTGTTGCTTGTGGCTAGTTTCTCAAATCCATGGCTGGAAAGCCTAGAGGTGCCCCCGTGCTTTTGGGCATCAACCACCCCTGCCCTGGGATGAAGTCATTGAGGACAACCAAAGTTTCTCACCCAGTGGCAGAGGGAGAAAGACAAGATGTGGGTTGAATGGTGGTTTGCATTTTATCGGGGAACTTGCTACAAAGCAAGAGCACATACCCGAAGCCTCCTTCTGACCCTTCAGACATGGGGTTACTCAGAAGTAAGGGGTCGTGGCCTCTCATGGAGTCCTTGGAACGGGTCCCCGTCTGTGTGTTCAATGTTGTTTGGTTTCCCGGTTGAGCGCGCGGCATTGCCATGCACATCCACCATGCCCCAGCATTCGGCCCAACGCCTCGGCCACGGAAACCAGCCCTCACCAACACTACAGAGGAAGCTCCATCAGGGCTCCAAGGAACCTGGTTTCTGGGTGTGAAGGAGACGTCATCCAAATTACCCTCTGACTGGTGACTTCAAGGGAAACCACCAAGAAAATGTGCGAATCCCTGATGGCTAACGGTATAAGGTTGGCCCCAGAAGGAAATACAAGGAAACTGGACACCGCCGCATTTTCCCAAAAACAAAGACACCTGTGGACTTTTGTGGGCAAAGAAGGGTTTGTTTTGATAGTTTAGCTTCCGGGAAAGCCCACCCTCTCCGATTCCCTCTCGGAATCATGAATCATGTTTGTTTAAAGGAAATGGCCTGTTGGGGTTCTAGGAAAAGGTCAAAAGGATTAGAACCATAATGAAACCATTGGAACCCATCTATTGTGAACCAAGCTGACCTAAAATGGCTTCTTCGAAGAAATATCAAAGGTTCTGCGAATGATACAATAATTCGGATCCCCAGCAGAGCCCTCCATCTACAGAATCAAATCGCTAGGAGGACATTGCTGCCAAGGACTCTTGGATCTCGTGGGCCCATCCCACTCTCATCGCATCCCCAAGTCAAAAGCCAAACGTTGGCACCGGATTAATCAACTTGTTCTATTGACAGGGGGGCGTTCCCCTCCAAAAATGCTAATCCCCCAAAAAAGGGAACATCCCCCTATCAATCAACCAAGGGCTCTCCTTGGTTCCGGGGTCCCATTACATCATGGAGGGCTCCTGTTCCACCCGGCTCGCCACAAGAAGTTCGTTACTTCGGTCGAACCGTGCTGAGCAGGCGCGCTGAGACGTCCCCGGCAAGGCCGCCGTCACCTGAAAGAAACTTCACGATGGAACTCAGCGTCCACTGGGCAATTCATATGGAAAACCATCAGCCATGTGGCTCAAGGCAAAAACCTGCGTAACCCCAACCCTAGCTTTCCAATTCCGAGCCACACCCACATGTTTGTCTATACCCTTACAGGTATTTGTGTCACCGTGTTGAAGTTCCCACGGGGTAGCCTTAAAGGGCAACCAAAGGGAAGCCACTTGTTTGCGGGTCCCCCCGACCTTCAGACGCACCCGCATCTTTGGTCTATGTGATGCCAGGTTTGCTGGATTGATCAACCCTCACATGACCGATCAAGATGTTGGAGCTGTTCAGGGCCATCATGATGCTCGAAGAAATCGACATCCGCGTCGCGTCTGGGTTTAAAACCTGAGTGGTCAAGTGGCCCTGTACCCCTGGTGAACATCAAAATAGGTGGCAGATGGATGTTCATCCACCCCAAAATGGAGCCCCATGGCCAAGTGGTTCGCATCGGCTCAACCCCTGCTTCCCCCCCCCCCCCTCTCCCTCCCGGAGTTAGCTGAGTGGCCAGCACCCCCCGCCGCCCCACCCCCGGCACTTCACCCGGCGCAAACCCTTGTAGCTAGGCTTCCGACCGAATTAGCTAGCCAATCCATCCCAAAAACAAAAAACTTCCCCAACGCAAAACAAACTCTTCCAACATGCACCTTTAAGGGAGAGCCCACTGAGTCGCTGAGAAATCTTGAGCTGGTCCCATTTTGTGGCCCAACTGATCAAGGGGACCAGTTCTGAGCCCCACAATACGTCTTACACTTTCACCCGATGGGTCCCTCCAAGCAAAAGGCCTAGGAGGCGGGGGGCCTTTCTCAAGCAGGGTCGGGCGGTGTTCAAAGGCGGGTTGTGTTTCCTTTTACAATTCACGGGAAAAGACGAGGGAGGTGTCCGCTTGAGCAAGGGCCACAATAGATGTGGACCCCCGCCGCATTCAGCAAGGGATGATCCCATCGGATGGGGATACATCAGCGAATTCTGTCAGCTTTGAGAAGGAAGTCAGGGCTCTTTGTGACAGCATCTTTTTGCTCCCTGGGTGTTGGCCATGTCCCACCTGCCCGAGGAAAACAGCAAGAAAAAGGGAGAAAAGCCAAGGAAGCCGGGTAGGCAGGCTGTGTCTCCAAATCGAATCCTCAACCTCTAGGGTTTGACTCCTTGTCCATTCTTTTCAACCATAGTTTTTAAAACAAAACAGCTGTTTTTCCTGCTAGGTTTCTGATGGTTTCTTGACAAGATTCGGATCTCTGGAAGAATGATGCCATCTAAGTAGCACAGTTGAAGCGGACCGAAATTGGTCGACCTGGCGGATAAACCAATGTTCTCATCCCCCAATATGAGATCCGGATCCTTTCCCCTTGCCACTCAAATGGTCCAAGAACTCGGGCAGTGAGCCATTCTTACCACCCCACTCCGCTCCAAGGGGGTTTCGGCCGGGGCCTTTCGCATGCCATTGACGTAGACCTGGCCAGCTGGACGCCGGTGCTGGGCCCATTTTCGCCGCACATCCTGAAAATCGCTCCCTTCCAAATTGCTTTTGCACCCCCTGGAAGAAATGAGGACACATATTTCCAGTAGAGAAACCAAGAAGTATCCAGCGAATGGATCCCAGTGGTGGATAGTAGTGGTTTCACCTCGGAAATCACGCCAACAAGTAAAAGTGCGATTGAGACTTTCAGGACCGAGGTCCTTGCTCGGAGGCCATGTTCTGCTGAGTTGCAATCCATCCATCCCAAGCCAGCCAGTGTCAAGACCACATGATTCCAGGTGTTCGGGGAAAATGGTCTTCCAGGACCCCGTGCAGGTTCTACGGCTCTTTTTTGGGGAGGGTAAATGGTTTGCGGGCAAAAGGTCGTCCATGTCCTGCGATCCATTGTCCTAGATGAACCCCAGGTTCCTCTTGGTAACGGTATGGTTCTTTTTTTGAGGAAAACCGACCCCCGCCGCAACTACGTGCAATAAGATGGTCTTTGACACAGTGCAACAAGTGGTCCAGGTGTTGCTCCCAACAAAACAAGCACTTATTTTGGGGGTCTGCCAGTTTCAGAGAAGCCACATCCATGATGCACAAAATACCTTGGGCCAAAATGCTACTAATCAGACTTTGGCTTTCAGCACTGTTTCTGTGTGTGTGTCTGCACACCATTTGTGTAGCCAATTGACTCTTTGATTCTTCAGCCTTCTCGCCCAATGCCAGGGACAAGTGGCTTGGGCTGTGGTATCCTCACGGCAAACTTGTGGACGGTGCCGACCCGCTCATTCGTCTGCAGGATGGCTTGCCAGGCAAGGCCAGTGGCGCGATACTTGGCCAGTCGGGCCTTCATATATCACTCCTCATCGGTGGGTGCTTCTCCGGCAGCCTATGGATCTTCTGCTGGAGGTTCCAGATCAAGGTTGCGCATCCCGTGCAACTGGGGGAACACCCAAACTGGGCCGCTTTCCTCTAGTTGCCCGTTCGGGAAAAATAAACAGAAAAAACAACACAACCATCAACTAACAAGGAAACACGTTCATACATTTCGCCCCATGCTCTCACTTCCAAAGTACAGCAGATCGGCCAACAACAGCAACCACACTTCTTGTTTACCACCGAAGTAGTCTTCCCCAAAACGTATCAAGTCCAGAAACTCAGGGAGTGAGGTGTAGCTGTCCGACTCAGAGGTCTTGTTCACTCAACCCGGCCCAGTTTGACTTCAACGGGGCATGTCGTCCCCCAAGACAGACTTGGGGGTATCCTGTTGAACCATGCAACCTCAGGGGTCTTCAGCAACTTCACGGGTCCCGATATTCAGAAAGGCATGTCCTACTGTGGATGAACACTTGGAAGCCGTTGTTCATTGGTATGTACAAGGGGATCATCAGGGTTTCTTGGGTGCAGGATTTCGTCCATCCACAGTATGTTATGTCCTTTGACAGCACCCCACAAACAACGGGCACTCAGTTGAAATTGGCCCAGAAAATCCACTTGCAAAGGTTGAAGATCCAAGTAAGCCTCTAAACAAATCCAAAGCACCAAGAGGATGCGAGTGCCGCCAAACAGAACATCCAAAGGACCAAAATAAGTGTGTCCTTCCCCCCCCCTGTGGTTACCCCTTGAAACCATCCCAAAAGCGGGTCCACAACAAACAAAAGCAAGACTAATTAACTGTCTGTAGCTTTGACATCCACAAAAAACCGTCCCAAAACCAAATATTGATTCATTCCTTTTCATTCCTCATTTCTTCCCTGGCATTCGCCGTTCATTCTTTAACATCATTGGCTTTTGGATGCTTCACTTTGGGACTTTGGGTGAGGGTTGGTGAAGGAAGGCTTGTCCACTCTCCTGTTGCATATCATGGATGAAGTCAACCCTCACCGTCATTTTGCTAGGATTAGCGGTTGGGGCCTCTACCTTCATTCAAAGTGAATGATGGAGAGGAAGGGACGGAGGCCAAATCCAGATCTAAGAAAAAGCGAAAATCCAAGCAGAAGTCTTTGACAGATACTTCAAGGTGGCACTCCCCGTAAGACGAGTCATCATGTTGCAGGTCACTAAGAAAAACCAAAGCCCTACGAAACTTGAGGTGGCAATAAAATCCAATATCCAGAAAAACCACCTTGCCATAATATGCCCTCCCCTTGCCATCCCCCCCCCCACCCCGCCCCAATCGCCGCCCCCGTCCCCCGTCCCCCGCCGCCCCCCCCCCTCAAGGCACCGCAAGCTCCATGGCGTTGCGGTCCATCAGCAGCCCCACCCTCGTGCCCACTGTGAGGTCCTGGCCGAAGGCCGCTGAAGCCTTGCAGCTTCATGGATGTCCGGGCAAAGTCGTGGATGGGCATCACCATTCCTATCTAACCTGCCCTAAGGGTGACCCATCCACTGCAGAACTGACCTCTCTCACAAACGGCCCATGTCCAGGACCCTCAGTACGTGATTTAACCATACCCGCACCTTCCCAAGACTTGGTTAAAATGGCTTGGTGGAAAGACCCTACATGGATGTTCGTTGCCAAGTTGAGTTAGTAAGTGCCCTATGGGTGAAGGCTCCAATGCAGAACCCCAGGCCCTCCAATGCAGAACTTTGACCCCTCTCTGGCCCTTGAAACAGCCCATGTTGAGGACCCTCAGTACCTGATTTTACCGTAACGGCACCTTCCGAAGGCCTGGTGAAACCGGCTTGGTGGAAAGACCGTTCGTTGTCAAGTTATTGAGATGTAACGGTAAAGGTTCGGGTATAACTACGGCTGGAAAAGAAGATCGCATATATTGCTGGTTCTCAGCAGGGAATGAGAAACAGAATGACACCGACAAAAAACCATCCATCCTATGGATTCCTGTACAGAAATCCCCAAAACCGGCTCATTTTCAACACCCGGACTCGGAAATTCATTCCCTAGCTATCGCAGCAAGTAAAGCGGTCGTTGACCCCGGATAAACATATCCCCGCGTCATCCCCAAACAGTTTGAGCCTGCTTCTGTACTTTCGCTTGATCCAGCCAAGTTCTGAAAAAAATGTGGCCTGAAGATGAAGAAACCAACCGCCGATGCCCAGTGGATTCCCGGACAAAACAAAAAAGGCGTCCTTTTTCGGGTTGGCTAAATTTAAATGGGCACCCTTCTCCCACAAAGTTGAAAACAGGGCGGAATCCACTGGGCAACTGGGAACCAGCTCAAGTTTTCCAACTCACCCATTTGGTCTTTGTGGGAGGCCCCTCATACTCAAGGTCTCGGGAGCCTAGGGCTTTCTTTGCGACGTCACCTCACTGAAAAAGGTTTTTACCATAGAGAAACCGGGTATTCTTGTGAGTGGGGGGGTACCTGCAGAGGACCAATTGGTTCTGGAGCTGTGAGTTCTCAAGGAGCAATTTGGATTCGATCGCTGGACCTCAGATGTCGATGAGAGCATGGCATGGCCAAAACAAAATGCAGGAAAACATGGTTCGCTTTGTTGGCTGTCTCTGAATAAGGAAGCCCTTAAATGAGTAGTTTCGGAAAATGCACCTTTGTTGATGGACATCATTCATTTAAGGATCTCTATGCTTCGGCGTTGTCCTTCTTTTCCTTCGGGTCTGATGTTGTTCAACTCCGGACTCCGTACAACCGGGAAAAAAAAAAGAAGAAAACTTCCGAGTCCGTACCACCGAGCAAAAAAAACCGACCCAGCTCGCTTGGACGGCCGGCTCCTTCAACGGCCGCCAGTGCTTGGCGTTGATCTTGCCAACCTGGCCCCGCGCCTTTTTGGGTCGTGGATTCCAGTAATTACGTCCGATGTCCGAGTCCGAAGAAATCGGCGACAAAAGCAGCCTTCTTTGACCTGACTGCATCAAAAATGGGGGTCATGACTCCTTTTTAAGTGACGACCACATGTTTAAAGGGTCATGACCGGAGACAATAGGCACTGGTGACCATTATTAATAAACGCCAGTTTGTTTATGGGGATGTTCCCCTCCAAAAGTGATCGTTCCCAGTAAACCCAAGGACACCCCCTATTGATAAACAGGGGTTTATTAACATGGGGTTAACATTGCTTGATTTCAGAAGGCAGCCCCTGCAGCAAAAGAGAAAGAGAGCCATGGCTTTATCCCGGCCAACTGGAAGTTATCGGGTTCAGCCTCCCCTCCGAGCGAACATGTGGAAACGGGAGAAACAAAAAATTGGGTTCTGAAATGGATGTGGACGGGGTTTTCCGACCAAGCCGCTCAATTCTATGTGAGGATCCTTCTCTCCGAAAAATGGGCCCTGAACAATGTGTAGGGGATGGTTGTCGAGGAGTGCACTCCCGGTTTTCTACGTAGGGGGTGGGGATCTCTTTTCACGTCCTAGGTGGATTCGCCAAAACACGTCCTTTGAAGCCGGCAAAATAGTTGTCCAAAAATGGATATACAGTCCTTACATAATACCTGGAAGTGAGGCTTTCACCATCCAAGCCCCCCCTCCCCCATGTGCACCCAGATGAATAAGACAGTTGGGTAACATTGCAGGATTCTCCTGTGTCGGCTCGGTCATCCCCTCTACTTATACCCACATAAAGGGAGTTGTGGTATTTACTTCGACCCTGGTGTAATACGGAGTTGCTTCCCCAAATATATATATATATATATAAAGAGTACATAATGTCCTCTTGATAACTGACCTGCTTGTTGATCCTGGGTGCCAATGATCGTGCCCCTCCCCCCTGTCGCTTGGTGGTGCCTCTTTGCCATCAGCAAAGATCTTGGGCAAGTCATAGCCTTGGCTGAGGAATTCTGGCGCTCCGACTTCCAGGGACATGGGTTGAATGATCTGTCCAGCATAGAACGGCGAGTTGCCCAAGAGGGGGTAGATAGATACTAATGTCCAAGGCAGCTTGGCATGTTTTACAACACAACTTTCAAGGCTAGACCCTCCAAACAAGTTGCCCACCCAAAGGGCGACCAAGTGGGAATGAGATATCAAATGCCATACCGCAACATCGGCTTGTCTCAGCGGCCAAGTCAACACAAAGCAAAAATCCCATGCGTTTCAAGGACTTCCACAAACGGATCTCCGAAACAAAAAGGTTGCCTAAATGATCCTAAATGGGACCTAGAGTCTTCTGTCTGGTTCCTCTCAGCACATGTTGTGGTGAAATGAGGGATCCCCGTAGAGGCTCTCTAGAGCCCAAGGGCTCCCTTGTTGCAAGCCAAGACATGCTTTCATTCCAGCTGTCCTTTCAGCTTCCAGTGAAACGGCAGAAGCTGGCAACATTACTTCCTTCCGCGAACGGCCATGGCAGCCGGGTCATTGGGCACATGAGAGCGGGAAGGCAAGCTTGAAAGGGAAACCAATCCACACACACACACAAGGAAAACAAGCGGGGTTTTGCACGCCCATCATGGCCCGATTCAATTCCTACGAACCCCAAGAACAAGTGAACCCGGTTGAACTCATTGGAGAACAGCGGGTGCTTGTAGTGTTGCTTTAAGAAGGGACACTTTTCCCCTGCCCGAAGGTTCTGAGAACCCTTTGAAGGTTCTAGAAACCCTCCCCGAGGGATCAAACCCCTGCCGGGAGATCTTGCGTGGGTAGCTCAGGTTCCAAAGGATGAGTTCCAGTACGTGACATGTTTGGTCTAAGGTAGGCCACAACAAACCCATTATCCCCCAGCAAAGGAGCTACATCATGGGCAAGCTCGCTGAACCCAGGTGAGCCCGTAATGATTTGCCCAGAAATTTGTTTAGATGAAGGGCATGCTCAGGTTGGGGGTGTCGAGGTTGTATACCACTCGGGGGATTCGATCAGGTTTACCCCGTATATAAACCCAAACCCCCCGCGGCCACGGGAAACAAACTGTTCTTTTGTTGGTGATTGATGTTAAAGTGAACCCCCTCTAAAAAATGAGAAAAAAAAAGGCCCGAAACCCACTGAAGCTCTGTGTATATAAACCAATTGCTATGTTCAGGTTTCTTTTGGCCTACACCCCAAGCCAAACAGGATCCGAACCCACTAGACTTGGTTGCCCGTGAGGGACACGCAAAAGGGAAACCAAATGGTCATTTCAGGTCGATTCGCTTTGGCTGCAAGTGAGCAAACCATGGCAAAAGGTCCCTTACACGGGATGACCATCAGGGAAAAGCCACCCAACAAAATGACGTTTCCCACTTTTCGGCCAGGGGGGGGGGGGGTTGGGTGGGGTGGACCGCTTGAAGCCCCCAAAACGGCTTTCCGACGGCCCGCGAGTTCTTCCGGCCGAATTCTTCGTTCCCTGAGGTTCCGGGCCCAGGAGCACCGCGTGGGCGTCCTCCCGCGCGCAGTCCAGGCGCAGCAGGGGCCGACCACCGCCAGGCCGCTGGGAGGTGAGGCCGATCCTCTGGCGCCGTTGCTACGGGGAATCGAATTGTGTGCGTTGGATTTCTGAAAGGGGATGCGAAATAGTCCATCCACAGTAGGCCACAGATCCCAGAAAGTCCCTTGGTACCTTCTAAACATGCACTTTAAACCGGGCCATGACTAAACGTGGACCAACAAAGAGAAACCCAAGGTCAATTGCTCGATTCGCTTTGGGCAAGTCAGAAACGTGTTAAGAAAGTTTACCCAAAGCTGGTGGTCTCCTTTAAGGGGACCCCTAAGTACATTCCCTCATTCCCTACCTATCGCACCAGCAAGATGGCACGTGAGAAGATGGGCGCGGAAACTTTGCGTGCCTCTGAGAGCCCCACGCCATGCTCTGAGAGCACTTGGCCATGTCTTGCACCTCGCAAGCCAATGGGACAAATCGGGCATTCCAACCCGAAATGGCCGTGGTGGGGTTCTTCGTTGTGTGTCCTTGGCTTTCCTTTTCGTTGTTTTGGTTTCTGTGGGATTGCATGGGGTTTCTTGCGTTTTGGGTGGGTTTCGGTGGGGTTGTCCGTGTTTTCTATGGGTTTTCAATCCGTTGGGCGGTGGTCCGTGGGGCTTTCGAAAGACACCCCAGGGCGTTGGGGTTTCCTTTCAATCCACGCAAAACGGGTAGCCTCAAACAAAGGCACAGCCATGTCCATGCTACATGAGCTGACGCGGAATGGGTGTGTTTACCTTCTTCCAGGAACGGTTCCTTTAGGGGAAGCCAAACGGAAACCTTCGGGCCTGCTTTTGGCATTCGCATGCCAAAAGAAAACCAGCCGCAAAGGATCAATCCATGTTGGCCGGGAAGAATCCATCCACTTGCACATATTTCCATTTGCATCTGACCTTGATTTGTGTGGACCCTTCCAAAATTGCCCTGTCCTTTTGGAACAACGACGAGCAACCTGACCTCAGATTTGGGCTTGTTCAAAACACATGGACCGTCAAGCCTGTTTTGGCTGTCGCTTTCATCACGGCTTCCTTAAAGGGAACACCTGGGCGGTTCTCAAAGCTACTTTTCAGGGTGGTGTCCCTTTCAAGTGCGAGTAGCTTTGAGGATGCCACGTTTAAGACCCATTGCCTCAAAGTTATGTCGAAGGACGGCGCGCTGTTCATGTTGAACCTGCCCTGCTACAGTAATCTTCAAGCGTTGAGAGTGGCTCATGCTGCAACCGCGCTGCCGGAGCCAACCCTGAAGAACAGGGGCATGGCTCCGGATAACTTTCAAAGTTAAGCTTGATAAAACAAGTTCAAAGTTTCAGGGGGATGTGTGGTAAATCGAATGAACTCAAGCCTAGAAGTCGAAGGATCCATTATGGGTTCGTCTTGTGAGCCAACACAATGGGTGGTGGGTATCTTGTTTCCTCTACCAAAAACTCAGGGGAAACAGATCCGGTTTTTCAAAAGAACGATGGTTGCAAAGAATGGACAAGGAATCAACCCCTAGAGAAAAGGGACGGTGGGTGTTTTCAAAGGACACTTTCCAGCAGATGTCCCTGTAAGCCAACCCCGCCCTCGGCAAAACACGGCGGAACGCGCCCGGAGCCCAGATGCCTCAACTTCGAAGTAGGCCATGCCGCGCTCCAGCGACAGCGGACCTCCGCGAGATTCGAAGATGGAGCTGCGCAGTGGCGCAACCATGCCCAGAATATATATATATATATATGGTGGTTGATCTAAATTCCTTTGTCTCGAAACGGCCATTCTTCGCGAATAAAAAAGTTACTTTCGCGAATCTTTCGCGGATTCATCGCCGTGCTCTTTTCATTTCTCGAGTCGGAGAATCGCAGCTTTTAAGTGCCAGCGTTGTAAGCGAAATGACGATTTCCCAACTCCAGCTGTAAAGTCGCAACTTTTCATCACAGGGGTAGTACATGACATGCGCCGGCTGGAAAGTCGCAGCTTTTCGTTCGCCGCGCAGCTCCAGCCTGAAGTCGCAGCTTTCCAGTACCAAGCTAGTATACTGACTAGATCGGCGCTCAGACTATACCTCCCCTTGCAATCGAAGCCTGCGCTTTCGCGCGGGCTTTCGCGGATCTTTCGCGGATCTTTCGCGAAACATCACCCACGTTTCAGAGCGGAAAGCCACCGACTAACACCCACAGACACACATACACAGGCTTGGAGCACTAACCAGCCAAGCAGGGTATCAAACTGTAGCCTCACCAGGCTTAATCAGCGCAACATCAACAAAGTGTTTTAATCAGAATAGAAGGAAGGCTCAGCAGAAAAGATGAACGGTTCCACATATCATTGATTAAACAGATACAGTTACGCAAAACTTTCGCGAGAAAAAAAGTTACTTTCGCAACTCCATCGCGAATCTTTCGCGGAGCTACCTCAACCAACACCGATGGTCACCGAATACTAAACTCCTTACAAGGACCTTTAGAACGACTCCCATATATATAATATATATATATATATATACGTATACCTGGACCTTCCTGCATGCTCAACATTTCCGCCTTTGCGATACGAAAGGCATTTTTTCACGCCAACAACCAGAAGCACGTATTTCTTGGCCAACGCCTAATATCTTTGACCCCCGGAAGGTCCAGGTCTATATATGCACATAATAACATATGGGTGTGTCTGCTCCGGAAAAATTGGGGGACCCCCTACCAACCCCAAAAAAAGGTATCCTCAAACAAAACAAACACCCCAATGAAGAGAACAACGGGGCTTTTCCTCCCAGGTACCATCAGGTGCCAGGTTAGTGGGAGGGAGGGTAATTATATGTAATTGTGTTGTCCTTACATAGCCATCCGAGGACGAAATGAACGTTCAACATGGAAAGCTGCGACGCGTTCCTGTGTCTTGGAGTCATGCAACAATTGTCGCATCCGCTTTGGGTCTCCTTTTTGGCACAAAAAATGATGGACTAGTTGGCACCCGGGTTCGAAGCGGGTCAAAGGGGTTGGTTCCCTGGTGACAAATCTTGCTGATCTACTTGAAGAATGAGTATCAGCCCAGGGCGAGCGCCATTCGAGAAGTTCAACGAATGCGATCAAATTCGCTCATCTGGCTATGTCTTGGTTTAACCCTTCTCGGGTGTTGAGCCGAAAAACAAAAGGACTGCCAACCATTTTCCCAATGAGTGACAATCAAAACCTGGTAATAAAATGGTCTACCAAATCCATGTAAGGAAATTACAAGGCAGCTGCAACTGTTTCTGGCTGGAACTCCAATGACAGCACGTACTTTTCCCCTCCGCGAGGGAAGCGCCACGAGGCCCCTTCTGTGGCCCTTCAGTGGTTGCCGCTGGCGCATCTCAGCACAGCGGACGATGCACAGAGTCTTCCCCATAGGTGTCGGCGTGTGCAGCATGCACGAAATGCGCACCTGCATTCTTTCGAACAAAGGACACATGCCCATCAAGTCTCTTTTCTTCGTCATGTTGACCAGCGTCAGCGGCCACATTCTCCGCCATCAACGACCTCCCCCGAATCCACGCGCATCACGCTCAAGTACTCATTGAGCAGCTGACAATGCCAATGCACGCAACGATTACGATGCTCCCCGAATTTGGCACACGCAAGCTACGTGCCAAGAAACATACCAAGGCACTGCACGCCACACACACACACACACCGCAACTCAGGGTTTAAGCGTTCCGATGCTACACTTGTGCACAAGCCAGTAGGTGCCGACCCACCAATATCTCACATCTGAACAAAAGCGGATCTCGGAATTGGCTTGCCGACACCCACGCGCTGCCTATTGTAGCTGGTTCACTTGCAAGTTTTAAGATTGTAGTATACAGCCCGTGAGATGCACATCCTACGATCCGCTTCGTTTCAGCTTCCAGCGACATGTAATATCTGGGTAATTTACGGCAGCTCTGCACTGCAACTTGAAATAAGGGACACGGACACCTGAAGAAAAGGGGAGAGCTCGCGAACCAAATCGTGAGCTCGCCCTATGCACAGCCCGGCCCTCAAATTTCAGTCTGTCTTTGCCTTTTGGTTTCGTTGGCAAGCAGCCTCAAAGGGGCACCTCAACAATAAGCCCCGGTGGAAAAGGGAACCCATGTTCCTGAGTTGATTGGCTCAAAAATTCAGAACTTGTTGTTTACCACTAGATTGGTATTCCCCAAAAATGCAATCCAGGAACTCAGGGAGTGAGAAAAGTGAACGGGTGAAGCCCACCGAGCCCACCACAGTGACACACCCACATACTACAAGTAATAAACACAGAATTGACGGACGGGGCTGCTTTAACACCAAAAAAAATATATATTCATAGGAGCAAAAGGTTAGTCTTGAATTTGCCCGTTACAATTATATCCCATGTCATAACCTAGTTGTTCTTAACTTGCTGTTTCTCCCCGTCAGCCCACGCCGGAAGTGTAGTGGCACTTGGTCACTTAGTCACGGGGGGAGCTTCTCTACCACCGTGGCAACCCACACTCTCAGTCCCACAGCCCCCGAGAACCGCCGCTCCGTCCCCATCTGAGACAGGCGCCCAAAAGGGCAATGCCCTTGTTGATGCCTCGGACGTGTCGCTTGTTTTTTTCCCCCACAGCTGAGACCCCCACATAAGCCCTGGAGTGGTTCGGAGCCGCTTTCAGAGATTCAGAGAGCGTTCTGGAGATTCTGTTTCTGGGGATGCCGAGGCTGTTGGGACCTTTGTGTCTGGAGCCGGTCAAACACGGGTTCCAGTCCCATTCTCAGGTGTCCCTTTCCACAACCAACCAGGTTCCAGCAAAGTGTTTAGGTCTGGGAAGACGATTCTAACGTTGCGACCAGTTGGGGGGCTTCAAAAATGATGGTTTGGGAGGGACCCCTGGACCTTGCAGCAAATCGGGGCAAACGTCGACCGGGATCTCGGCTTCCTCGCCAGACCACCAAGGCCAAAGGTCATCGGAAGCCACATAGAACCCAACCGGTTTTGGGTCTCGCATGGTCCTTTGCGAAGTGGAACCTTCTGCTGCGGCAGCAAGTATGAACCTTTGTGCGTCACGACGGCCCACTTTAAAAGCCATCCATGAACTTGACCCTCTGCTTCGCTGCCGGAGGCACTGTGTAAGACTGCTCCCACATTGGGATGCCGGCCGTGAGGCTAGCTGCTCACCAAGATCTGAGGGCAAGTCCACGACCGGGAGGTTCTGGAGATTGATGATATTTTAAGCCCCCGGACATTGGACACCGAAAGAAACCAGGTTGTGTATCACGGATTGCTTTTGACAAATGCTGACTTCAGAGTGATGTTCTAATTGATTGCCCCAGCGAGTCCTTAGCTTAAAAACACATCGTTTGGAGCAAACTAAACTAGACACATTCCGAAATCCATACAAAGAAGCATGGGGTCTCAGAATGAGGGTGCCTTCACACTGAAGAAGCTGTTCAGCGACCTACCCTTGCTTCGAGCTATAGACATCCCGTTTTTGTTTTCCCATTTTTTTTTTTTTGTTTTATAATAATAATAATAACAATAATAATAATAATAATAATAATAATAATAATAATAATAAAAATAGTAATATTTGTTCCACGTATTTTTTTCATGGGAAATCCCAGTCCAGCTTGGTGGAATCTACCTCGACTTGCAGATTTGCAGGGCCAAAAAAGAATTTCAGATCTAATCCCCTCCTTGAAATAACCAGCAGCCAGATTCATCAAAGCTTTGCTTTCAAGAATCCCCACTCCTGCAATACTTTCTCTACGTTCTCTAGGTGGTTGAGAAGCAGCTCTTAACGCTTGACCCGGACTTACCAACATATGCTGCAGTGTCAGATCCCCATTGGTTGCAAACTCTGAAATCAACCAAGGGCTCATCGACCACCCAGGATTCCACTGTAAAAACCTCAATAAGTGTAGTGCAGCTTGTTTCCGTAGGCATCACCCAGCAGGCGTATGCAAAACCTAAAGTTCTGTGGGCCTTTCTCAAACTCCTGATGAGGGCAGGGTCGTAGTCAGGTCACCATTCAAAACGCTGCTGGATTGTTGACTGACATGCTGTTTGCTTCAACACGTCCGAGAACCCCAACAAGCTGCCAAACATTCATACTAGTAATGGCTGCAACACGAAGGACGCTCATGTGCATCCTCCAGTTTCCCATGCGGTTCAGGCGAGCGGATTCAAGTCATACCCTCTCTCAAAGAAAGGCCCTTGCCGGTATCGAGGGCTCCAACCAAGGAGAAGGCTTCTGCCATGCCATGTGGGTCTGTCTCAAAAAATCGGTGAACCCCTTGTTGGATGGTTTTAAAGGGACGAGGAAAGCCACCCTCTCGACCCCAAAGCTTTCAGCTGGGAGAAAAAACACGGCGCACAAAATCCATCTGTTGGTTCTACCAAAGGCTTGTGTAAGCCTTGCCAAAAAACCCAACTAAACCTTTCCTTTCCACATGGAATCCACCAGTCCACCAGAGCCCCTTGATGCAAATTGTCTTGGATCGACCCCCAGTCAGGTTCACAAACGAACAGAACCGACAAAATATAAAGCAAAACTTGCCAACAAGTGAAGCTGCTCTAACTGTTGCTGTTGCCCCCTCTGCAAAAAGTCGACACTTCTTTTGGGTTTAGTGGAAAAACCCTTTGTTGCTATAATCCCACCTAAACCGGTTGTAGTAGAGCCTACTAACACGGGCAATGGAGGTTTGGGGCGCTACTCACATTGTCCCCAGTCGGTCACCCAG